AAAATAAATAAAAACCAGGGTCCAGGGAAGCAGTGTCACCCTTGGGAGGAACCAGCATTACTTGAGGGACTGTGTGTTACTGCCTGTCTCTGAAGAGCTGGTACAGCAGCCCCCAGCCCTGGCTTAACAAATGACAAGCTGGGGAAAAAAGGAGGAGTGGCGGAAGGGACGAGCAAAAATCAGGAAATGGAAGAGAGAAGTGAGTGGGATCAGGGGTGGGGAGCGGGCTGCCCCTGGAGACTTAGATCTAGAGAAGCGTATTCCTTCCAGTTGTCTTTGAAATCACAGATGTTACACAATGTGTGTCTCAGGGACACAGAATCAGCACTCACTTCAGGTTACCAGAGTGAGGTCAGCATTTCCATTACGATTTCCTTGTTGGTGAGTTATTTTGTATGTTGCACGTTCCTTGTAAATCTTAATTTATAATAGTTGTCTATGACTGCTCTGTCCTGAAAAATCTCCATACTCCCCTGCTCCCTCTATTCTTGCTTCCCCCTGCAAAGTGGTGAATAGCATCAGGAATTTGTTAGGTAAGCCAAAAAAAAAAAGTGCCAAATCAGGACATTTCATTTCTCGAACTGGTCTTCACTAACTATAGAAATACAACAGGGACACCTGGGTGGCTCAGTCGGTTAAGCATCTGCCTTCGGCTCAGGTCATGATCCCGGGGTCCTGAGATCAAGCCCCACATCGGGCTCCCTGCTCAGCGGGGAGCCTGCTTCTCCCTCTGCCTGCCGCTTCCCCTGCTTGTGCTCTCACTCTCTCTGACAAATAAAAATATACAATCTTAAAAAAAAAAATACAACCAAGATGAATTTTAAAAATTTTTAAAAATTTTTTAAAGATTTTATTATTTGTCAGAGAGAGAGAGAGCAAGTACAAGCAGAGGAAGCTGCCGGCAGAGGGAGAAGCAGGCTCCCCGCCGAGCAGGGAGCCCCTTGCGGGACTCAATCCCAGGACCCTGGGATCATGACCTGAGCTGAAGGCAAATGCTTAACCGACTGAGCCACCCAGGCGTCCCGATGAATATTTTTTTAAATTAATGTTTCAAGATTTTAGCAGAAGCTAACTTAGTGGTTTTAAATACCGCCCTGAAAATCCAGTAGAATGCCAATCATTGTTGATGCTCCCACAGCCACTCATCAAGAGACACATAGAGATCCCAGAAATTTGGTTTACTTAAAATAAGTGAAGCAAGTAAAAGTATTTTCCTAGCTCCAGGATATAGCATGCTGTAAAGATGTATTGCCTATTGGTAACAAGAGCCTTTAAATTTAGGCTAGGGGAAGAGAGGTGACTCTAAGCTAAAATGTAAGTGACTTAAAACCTCCATCCTCTCCTTCCTTTTTCTTTATTTAATGGTAAACTATCAACGATCCTGTGCCCATTTGTTTTCTCCTGTTTACTTGCTCTACATGCTCATTTTCTGAAAGTGTCTTCTATCAGTCATTTACAACTTGGTGCCAAGTCAGTATTTCAGTTCCAAGAACATTGGCATCTTAAGTCTGATTTCTACCAGGGCAATGAATCCCTTGGTCCTTGCTTGAAGAAATGTCAGACATCAGTGCACAGATGGAGGAAGATTTCGGAGATCTGGAGACTCAGCCACTGGGAAACATATGTTCCCCATTAGTATAGTACTTTGGGGTTAAGGGATCCAGAGCCCAGAAGCAAGCTTGCTCCCCATCAGGGAGATATGGGCCCACTTTGAGCTGTAGAGTACTCCTGGGTAGTACAGTCTGTCTGGTTTTCCTCTTCATGTTGGCTGCTCCAGTTTTATTTATTTTTATTTTTTATTTATTTATTTAATTATTTATTATTTTTA